TCACAATCTCAGACAAACGGCAAAATAGAATTTATTTAGTACAGAGATATGAAGACCAATATAGTGTGGAACAGATGAAAACAGCACAAATGGCAGTAATATGAAAGATGAAAAAAGGAAAAAAAAGAGTAAATCATCACCTATTCCGCTATAACTGTATCCTACAATGGCTTTTTGGTAAAGTGAATTTCTATAAAATCTCATCCCCAGCTCTTAGTGTTTAACTAATATCCTAAACGTACCATCGCACCTGAACTAAGATTGCGTGGCCTTCTGTTTGATCATCGTCTCCTTCAGCTTCGTAGTGTTGGTTCGAGCCTGTTTTGCAACTTGGTCTGGGCGTCAGGAAGACCTTGTGGAATGAACCTATTTCCGTGTTCTCTGCCATACTATTCGTGATATTCAGCATTGAATTATTTACTTGGTACACACACAAACGTTTTACCAGCATCACAGTCGACATCGTTATTGAGGGGCGCCATCGTAAGCAAACAGCTACAACTTATCAAAGTGACAAGTGAAGACAACCCTCTTGAAAATTTTCTGTCAAATGGACCTACAAGCTGACAAAGGAGGTGCCGAAGTAGTGATAATCAGGAAGGAATATACAGAAAAAATGGAAAATATTCTCGGAAACACGACAATTTATCGACTGCTAAACGAAGAGCCAATAATTAAAACTCAAGAGGCACTGCAATAAATGCTGAAGCAAATGAATATGAACGGGGAAATCGACAAATGGACAATGAACTCACTCATGCGAGAGGATGCAAGAGTCCCAGTAGAATACGGCTTGCCGAAGGTACACAAAGAAACGGAATAATTGAGACTTTTAATCAAGAGCAAACATGGACAAACACATAAATTATCGAAAGTTATCTACTTCAAATTAAAGAAAGTGAATGATAGATTATCGAATACCGTCAAGAGCTCATATGAATTTTTCCAAAGCATCAAAGGTACCGATTTTGGAGGAAACCAATTTTTGGTGAGCTTTTATGTACAGTCCAAGTACACTAACATCAAAAGGGAAAAAGTACTTGTCGCACTACTGGAGATGTTGGAAAAAGAAAATAACATCCTCGAGAAAAAGCGAATGTGTAGAGAGTCTCTAACCCGATTAATCTACATAACAACAACAACGACCTATTTAACATTAAACGACTGCATCCATGAGCAAACATTTGGTATGCCCATAGGATCATCATTCTCAACTCTGCCGGTTAATGTATTCATGGACAAGAATTGCAAAATGTCAGCCCAGCAGCCAACCGTAATTATGGATGAATACTTCGCAATTTGGTCGCATGGAAGAGAAATATGAGATTATTTCCTGATTTTAATTAACTAAATTGACGATAAAGTCAAATTTACCATTCTCTCCCAGGAAACTCTGGAGAAAGAAGTCGCATGCTGTAATAAATCTTAACTTCCAGTCGAACCATACTTATGGAATTAAGATTGGAATAATCAGTAATATGGTCATAAGAAGCCTACGACTCAATGCTTCTGACTTCTGGGAAGAAGAACTGAGAAAACTAACTCAGATGTTTCTTGGAAACGGATAACGAGAAGAAGCAATACAACGCAACATACGAATGGTGATGAACAAATGGAAGGACAGAGATCATGAAAGGAAAGCAAGAGGAGCAGAGGAGTAACCGATGGATGTGTACACCCTCCTGCGAATCGGCTCTGGAGGTATTGCCAATGCTAGGCGAATGGAACCTTCCTATTTCACCAGCTTGCCCACACGACATGAAGAAGTCAACAAATTTGAATGCTCCTCATTTTACAGCATCAACTACAGCGACTGTAGACAAAAATACAGCGGAGAGACGGAAAGGACAATCAACACAAAGATCAAAGAAGACCAGCGACTATGCGGAAAAATGGATACGGAAAGATCGGAGATCTGACACAAAATTGACTGGAATGCGACAAAAAGTCTGATTTCATGGGCAGAAAGCACCGGGAAAGGGAAGATCAGGGAAGCTGTGGACATGCTCTTTGAAAAAACCTGCTGAACAGAAGTTGGAAGAGGGAAAAGTCAGCGACGATTCCGCGTACTGCCCGAGCAAACTTACAGATTCATCGAACACATCCAAGGGAAGACGCTTGGAGCCAGGACAAATATTCAACAAGAGGAAGAGACAGCCACAAGTAGCGACTGGTGAGGTGCAAAGGGAAGCCATGAAAAGGAATCAAGCGTGGAATTGGCCTAAAAAATGTACCTGTGAGATGTAGGATATGAAATTATAGGCGAAAGGTACAGGTGGGCGAGATATGTGTGTCTAAAGAGGAGGTAAGTGGGGACACATTTGAACACAGGGGATACCAGCCAACGTACACACGCACATAGACACACACACACACAAAGAGATCATACCAGTTCCCTACGACTCGATTTGAGCGCAACTTGAAGGACGAGAGAAGTGTGCTTTTCGCGATTGAGGAGGAAAAAGGGAAGTGGAGTTTACAGCATAAACTGCAAGGACTGTGAACAAGAATAGATTGGAGCGACGGGAAAGACAATCAGGACAAGGATGAAAGAACACCGGCGACTTTGGGGAAGAATGGATA